AAAAAAAACCCAGAAAAATTGTGCCTTAGGTAATGATAAAGAATCTGCACAACAAGCTTGTCTTTGTTTCCTTAGAAAGGCTATAACCAAACAAAAAGGAAAAGAAAAGTTAACTTTTAGTAACTTGAAAAGACAAATACGGAAACCCTCAAGTTATTGCGTGCATGTTAAGTTTCGTATTGACTCTTCTCGTTGTAATCAAAAGAAGGTGGCGGTGTAATGCAAAGATCGTGGTTTCAGATATGGTTTTGCAGGTAATTAAGAAAACGAAAGAACCAAACCTTGGATATGAGCTGTGCTTCACAGCCTTTTGTCCATATTTTCTCCATCTATACCCGTCTTCAAGATGATCAACTTCACTTTTAGTCATGAAAGCAAATCGTGGTTCCCTTTGCTTTTTCTCTCCTTTCGTTTTCGCTTTGTTCCTGTTAGATACAACCTAACAGTTATACTTACTAGATTTGTTATCGATATTATGAAAATGAAGCCAGAAAAAACTTGGTTAATTTACCCTTTCTTTGAGCTTTCACCTCCATCTTCTGATCCTTTTGGCTGCACAACTTTCTTACTCTTGCCTGAATCTTCTTCACAACCAGCCTCGCTGGATGAAGAAGAAATTGAAGAATTAGGAGTCCCCATAACTTCAGCGGCACCGCCTCCTAAATCCTCAGCACCGACCAGCTGCTTCGTCGTCCGGTTGCTTCCTTCGACCGAAGAAAACACTTCCGATGATGACGGCGACAGACCAAAAGCCATTTCAAGTGAACCGTAGTCCATGGAAGTAGTGTGTAAACAATCAGTGAAGCTCATGATTGAAGGCTCAACAGAGGATGACGAAACCCTATAGATGCTATCAGTTTCATCCCCAAAACTTTGCTGATCGTGATCATTCTTGAATGCACTCGCGTGGTAGTACAAGTCCCTAAAATCCGACATGGAGAAATTGTGAACACGAAATACAAATGAACAACGAGGGGAAAGACAAAGGTTAGGCCTCAAATATTAGGTTGTGGTTTGGTCCTACATATCTTTATGTTGTTTGAATTATATATATAATATTTATATGGAAAAAAAGTCGGGATGAAAAGATAGAAAGATAAAGATAGAGAAACCACTTTGTAAAGAAAGGTTGGACAAAACATCCTCCAATGGGAAGAGCAAAGGGTGGCTTCCAGTATGGAAACATTTCCAGCCATACTTATTAATGTATATTTTAGATATACATTAACATCATTAATGTATTTTTTATATTTTAAACATACATTTATTTATTAGTTTTTAAATTTCTTTCATTAAGCATAAAATTAAACTAGATACTTTCTTGTAATAAATTTCTAATTTGAGACGGATACAGTAATAAAAGAAATCTTGAAGTCTCCAATTGGGAAACACTCTAAAAGATAAGAGAAAGAAGCCGGCAAGGAGAAGTCAGCGAAGAATAACAAAACGGCTTACAATCGAAAGGGTGCCTCTTCAGGGACGATGATAAAAGAGAAAAATGGAACGGTCAAACATTCAAACTTAATTAGATCTTTTGGAATATTAGGCATACACGTGGCATTATTGGCACCGGCGTGACCGTAGCCAAAACCCACATCCGGCACGTGAGAGAGACCTTTTGCCGCTTCTGCCTATGCCTACCCTATCTAGGGGTGTGCAAATCCGGGTACCCGGATTTTCTGGGTCGACGATTTCTCGGCCCGTGTCCCGACCCGGATGTTACGAGTTCCCGGTAATCGGGTACTCGGATTTTGCGGGTATCCGGTAATCGGGTACCCGATACCCGGTTTTTAATTTTTTATTTTCAAATTATTAATTTTAAAAAATATATACACAAATTTAAATGTTCGAAACTTCGAATTACATACTCTAATATCCGAACATAAAATTTAAAAGTTCGAAATACAAAATATAATAATCATAATATAAATAATTCATTATATTTTATATAATTATATATATAAAAAAAACTAACCGGGTACCCGAAAAAACTAGATTTTGTGATTCGGGCCCGACCCGGGAAATGTCGGGCCGGGTACCCGACCCGGCCGAGTAATTTTTTTTAGAGAATTACCCGGTTTTTTAGATCCGGGTCGACGGGTCGGCGGGTCGGGTCAACTGGGTCGGGTAATTTTGCACACCCCTAACCCTATCGTCATCCACACCTTCTCTGTTTCCCTTTTTACCCTTTCCTTTCCGTTTTGGCCAACGCCTACCCCCGATTCTCCCACGTTTTCATCTACACTGTCTCGTGAACCCCATACAATTTGTCTCAACAAAACATTATGCCCACGTTAGACTGTATTTCTCCAATAATTTGAAATATATTTAAATATAAAAATTTGAGTTATATTTTTATTAATTTATTAATATTTTTTAATAACTATACATTTCTATCATAGAATATATTTTTCAGTTCAAATACATAATATTATAATCTAAATAAAGGGTTATAAGTTTCATCAAAGAAAGTGACAGATGCAAATCATAATGAGAATACAACAACAACAAAATTCTATTTCCAATATACAATGGGATAGGGGGAGGTAGGGTAGCAGGCTGCCCCCAATGTCAGGTTGAGAGCAGCTTCCGTGGAAGACTTCCGGCAGTCAGAAAATTAAAAATAAAGATAAAATATAATACATGTATAAATAAATCAATAAATACATAGTTGAATAGTCTTCATATGCACGTCTGTAATGGGAAGTAAACCCTGCACATAAATCTCTGTCTAAAAATCTCTGTATATAGACAGAAACGTAAGTCCTGGCTAAATTTAAAAAGAGGAAACATGAAGAGAATGATACACGGAATTCAGCGATAACAAGCTACAAGAAGGAATAAAGTCTAAATGGGTTAGAACCTAAACTAAGGCAACACTACTCCGCTAAGTTCTAATCCTTCATAAAATCCAATGAAAGAAACGTTTAAAAAGTAACATGGAAATTACTAGACAATTTAAGAAGACAAAGAACACCCTATGGTTGTACTACTCGGCTACCCTAGTTTAGTCTCCATACTTTCCTATCAGAGGTCATCTCCTCGGTAAGGGCCAAATCCTTCAAATCAGATCTCAAGCAATCTACCCACTTCCTCCTTGGTCGTCCTCTCCTTCTGACACCGTCGACTGTAATCGACTCTACCTTCATGACCGCATTCGACGATTTTCGCCTAAGGACATGCCCAAACCAGCGTAGCCTTCTCTCCCTCAATTTTTCGAATACAGGTACCACCCCCAAGGACATCCTAATTGTAGAGTTTGGTGTCATGTCCCACATAGTCCTACCATATGCCCATCGAAGCATTCTCATTTCTGCGGCATCCATGCTCCTTACATGATCCTTCTTGATTGCCCAACATTCTAATCCATACAGCAACGTTGGTCTTATTGCCATTCTATAAAATTTTCCCTTAAGTTTTAGAGGCACCTTCTTGTCATACAAAACTCCAGTAGCAACCCTCCACTTTAGTCATCCCGCATTTATACAATGTGTTACGTCGTCATCTACACCCCCATCTTTATGTTTCATAGACCCTAGGTACTTGAAACAATCTTTTGAAGGGAGAACGTGTCATTCGATGCATACTTCTACATCTTCATCGTTTTGGAATTCAAAATTTTTATACTAATTGTTTATTTTACTATTGGTTTCCACCTTATATGGAAATTTTCAAAATTATTATACATATGTACATTCTAAAAAATATTTCTAGACCCGTTACTGTCAAAGAATATGTAAAGTGATTAAAATAATTATCTCTTTAAAATTTTTAAATTATGATATATTTTAAATATTTTTATTAATTATATATTTTTATCTTCCTGTAATTTTAAAATTTATTCTTTTCTACAGATTTTAAAATTTACTTTCTTAACATAAAATCGTATTATCTCTAATTTCATTTATTTGTTATTCTTGCCGTCCTTTGAAATGAAATAGAGTAGATGATGAAGAGTGAGGAATTACTGTTGTTTGTTGTTTATGGAAGATAGTATTAATGAAGAGTTGTTGCGGAATTTGCCTTTCAAACCGGCCAATTCATGCATTTTCCAGTCCCTACCAACAAATACGACAAGTATTTCACTGGTAAACATCCCATTGATAGGAATATAAAAAATTGACCCGACTTGTAAAATTGATTAAAACCGATTTGAGTTAAAATTGTTTATGACCCGAGATCGTGGTGATCCGAAATCGATTTAAGTCCGAACTGGTGTTGAATTGAATCCTAGTCTGACCTGGAAATTTACGACCTACACCCGGAACTGAGAACAACCAGAACCCGAATTGAACATGATAATGTGATAACCGAACCCAACCTGCACCCGACCTGATATGAAATTGAACCTGAGATTAACCCGATAAATAACTGATATTACTCGACCTGTTATTAACCTGATTTGTAATAAACCTGATCTGTAATTTACTCAACCTGTAAATGATTTGATCTATTATTAAATTGAACTGATATTTACTTCACTTATAAATTATAATTGATGAAGTTGTGAGATTTTGAATTTATAAATATGATAATTAATATGATTACTTTTTAAAAGTTAAAACAAATTGTTAGTTATGATATTTTTTTACAATTAAATAAACTATAATAATTAATATGATTATTCTTTACAAATTAATATAAATTTTTAGTTATGATAATTAAATTAATAAATTTATTTTCTATATTAATTATAATCATTCTATTATAAATCTTAATTATAATTAGTAAATTAATTTCATTAAATAATTTATTTATTTAACATGATTTTATTAGATTTGGATAATTCAATTTCATTACTTAAGAAGTAAAAAAAACCTGCTACAAAATACAGAGTCAATAAACAACTCTTTGGCAAAGCTAAGAAAGCACACTAAGCTAATCCAACTAACATAAACACAGAACAATGAGACAGGTCCTACTCAGGCAATACCCCACTTTACACACAGGGCAATGTTGGACGAGTCTGCTCTGTTGAAAGATTTATCTTTCAGCCGGATTCAGATGGTCTCCTTAATATCTCCCATCACTTCTTCCTTTGATCTTGCTCTGCTCCCAAACAATCTTCCATTTCTTTACTTCCATATGACATAAACGTGACCAGTCCAAACAAGTTTAAGAATTCTCACAATGAGAGACTTACCCTTGATAGCAGAGAAGCCAAAGCCAGTTCACCATCCCAGCTGCTAGTTCCACGAGAGATGCAACACAGTTCAAGAATGGAGCCCATAGCTCCTTAGCAAATCGACATTCAAAGAACAAGTGATCTCTTGTCTCTGTCTCATTGCCACATAGTAAGCATTTATCAGTTTCAATGGCTAGGCCCATTCCCAAGAGCCTAACCCGAGTAAGCAACCTGTTTAGTATGGCCATACAAACAATAATACTATGTTTGGGGATACGTCCAGAGAACCAGACCAAATGGTGCTAAGGAACCTTGGGGGCAGGGGTGCGCAATTCTTCCCATATATACCTCGTACTATGATCACAGACCTGACCCGAAAAGAGGTGAGCAACATCAGGCCTAATTTTCAGCAAATATTTGAAGCTCCAGCTTGCATTCTTAAGGATTTCCATTTGCCAAAAATCAGCATTCCTAATAACATAGGAGTGCATCCAAGCCACGCAAAGGGAGCCTTTATTAGCCAAAAGCTTCCTGATTAGTTGAACAATGCAAGACTTGTTCCACCCTCCTACATCTTTTATCCCCAATCTACCTTCAGATTTCAGTAGGAAAACAATCTTCCAACTAACTCTTGCACCTTTAGCATGAGCATCAGACCCTTTCCAAAAGAATCGAGAATACAACTGCTCAACTTTCCTAATAATTTCTTTAGGCAATATGAGTTGCTTGTACCAGTAACTCGAGATGCTGAGTAAAACAGAACGAACGAACTGCAGCATTCCAGCAAAGCTAAGGTGCTTGTTGGCCCATAAACTTAGCTTTGTCCTAAGTTTATCTATGAGACTTTGGTAGTCTTTCACAGCCAACTTACTGGTAACCAGTGAGACTCCTAAATATCTAACTGGGAGGCAGCCCAATTTGAAACCAGTAATTTCCTTGATGGTGTTGATCTGCTCATCAGGAATACCAGCTGCATACATCTCACACTTGCTAGCATTCAGCTTCAACCTTGACATGAAGTAGAATTGATCTAGCACAGTCTGCACTCCCATGACAGAGTCAATAGAACCCTTGCAGAAAATGAGTAGGTCATCCGCAAAACAAAGGTGGGTGAGTCCAATCCTCTTGCATTTAGGGTGATAGCTAAAGACTCTTTTTGTGGAAGCCACATTTAGGAGGTTAGACAGAACATTCATTGCTAGAAAAAAATGTAGGGTGATAGGGGATCACCCTGCCTCACTCCTCTAGCACCTTTGAAGTATCCAACAAGACTGTCATTGAAGACAATAGAGTGTCTTGGATTTGCAAAACAGGGCCCATGTCCAGCCTATGAACTTCTCAGGCAGCCCAAGGGCATGCAAAATCACATCAATAAACCCCCAGTTTAAGGAATCAAAAGCCTTCTGCAAGTCTATTTTAAGGGCACATCTAGGGGAGATATTTCTCTTAGAGTAACCCCTAACAATTTCCTGAACAAGTAGGGTATTATCCACTATGCTTCTCCCTTTTACAAATGCAGTTTGGTTCATAGATATCATATCAGGGAAAATAGAAGAGAGACAGTCCACTAAAATTTTAGTGACAGTTTTGTATATAATAATGCAACAAGAAATGGGTCTAAAATCCTTCACTAGGCTATGATTGGGCACTTTAGGGACAAGTACTACAACTGTTGCATTAAATGAAAAAAGCATAAATGAATGATCAAAACAGTACCTGACTGCTGCTAGGAAATCCTCTCCAACAATAGACCATGTCCTCTTGAAAAAGAAAACATTATAGCCATCTGGGCCAGGGGACTTGTTATTCCCTTGTCTCCACAAGGCTTTCTTGATCTCAGCTTCAGAAACAACCTTGCATAAGCTATCTGCTGCATCTCTAGACAAGGAGAAACCAAGTAAATCCTTGATATCCCTGATATTACTACCTTTTACCTCAGGTTCAGCCACCCCAAGTTGATTCACAAAGAATCTAATCACTTCATTAGACATGTCTTCGAAAGTATCAAGTCTGGCACCACTTTGGTTGTATAGAACTCTGATTGTATTGCTTTTCCTTTTAGTAGAAACCACGGAGTGGAAAAAATGGGTACCTTATCTCCTTCTCTAATCCAATCCATTTTTTCTTTTTGCTTGTAAAATAACATCTCAACCTCCTCAAAGGCCTTTAACTCCTTTTCAACTTCCAATTCAACATTAATGTTTCTTCCAACAGTGGTAGGATCAAGAATGGCAAGTTGTAGATTCTTTAATTTCCCCTTTTTCTCCCTTACTTGCCCTGATATGTCACTATAATGGTTCCTGTTAAGTTCTTTAAGACATATTTTCAACCTTTTGAGCTTGGTAAGATTCCTTAATAATGAACATAAAATCAGGGCGCATAGCCCAGAAATTAAAAAACTTGAATGGCTTGGTGGCATGAGCTTCCTTATGTAGCCATACTAGTGCTGAGCAGTGATCAGAGTCACCAGGTGCCTGAAACTCAACATCAGAAGCAGGAAATGCTTCAATCCAATTTGGATTGACTATAACTCAATTCAGCTTGCGTGCTAAGTAAGTGTCATGTTGTTTATTTGTCCATGTAAACAATGGACCTGTGTAAGAGTGGTCAAACAACCCCAAATCCTCCACACAACTCTGAAATTCAGTCATATCAGCTAAGGTACCAGTTAATTTGAGCAGAACTTTCCTCAACATTTAGGATGACATTAAAGTCACCACCAATTAACCAAGCCTTATTTTTCACAGAAACTTCCACAGAGCTAAGTTGAGTCCAAAAGTGTCTACAGATAAAGTTATCGTTCGAACCATACACAACAGTGATAAAGAATTCAATACCCTTAAAACAACCCTTAAGAATAATGATTTCATCAAATGTAGAGCTAATAAAGCAAATCACATTGTTTTGCCAAAGGACCCATATGTGGCCATTTTCAGCATGACTGTAGTTACAACAATACTGTCAGTCACTAAATTTCTTAGACAGTATAGCAATGGAGTTATTCTCTTTCACTCTAGTTTCCAGGAGGCAAAGGATGCTAATCTGAGTCTTAACAACCCAATTTATAAAGGGGATTATTAAATCCCCTGATGTTCCAAAAATAGATTAGCATAATACATTTGTTGAGGAAGAAACACCCCTCTTTCCTCAAGTTTTTTTGACTCTATCCACGTGCTCTTTCTTTTTCAGTTTCAACTCTTGAACAAGCTTTGCCACTCCCAAATACGCACCTCTATGCTTTTTACCAGAATCAGCAGCATAAATTTCTAACACACTATCAGGGTCAATAGTGTTAAGGATTTCAAATTTGTTCTTTGAAGCTCCTACAGTAACCTTACCCTCCTTACATGATTTTCCCCTACCTTATTACTTAACTGATCAGCCTGTTTGGCCATATCCAGTATGACAGTGCAACCTTTAACCCTATCTGACACTATGTTGGCATCAGCATTATTTTCAATCTGCTTGATCATATCCAGAATTACAGTGCAGTCTTTATCCCCATCTGGCACTGAATTGGTAGCAACATTACTCTTAATAAGAGAGCCATCAACTCAAACCTGATCATTTTACAAAGTATCATTAGTCGGATGATCATGTACTTTGTCAGAACTAATCCACTCTGGTGTTGTACTAGAAGTAATAGCTACATCACCTAAATCTCCTGTAGTTTCACCACTGGCAGAAGGAACATTCTGCTTTGCACTCTTTACAGACCCCTTGACTCTCCAGACTTGCTCAGTTCTTTTCCCCCGAGGGCATAGTCTCACAGGGTGTCCAAAACGCCTACAATTAGTGCAGGAGCTAGGCATCCAAGGAATTAAGACCCTAATTCTTGCCACTAATTCATCACACAGGACAACATCAATAAGGTCTTGAATTAGAGACCCAGCAGTAATCTCAATGCATACTCGAGCGTATTCAAGCCTCTCTCTAGCAGCTATAATTGAATCCATATGAAGAGGCTTCCTTACAGCACTTGCAATATAGCTAATCCCCTTCCTTGAGAATAGTTCCAAAGAAACATTGTACAAATGAATCCAAATGGGCATTCGACACAGATCAAACTGAAGTTCTTTCAAATTAGGTTCCCACTTCCTAAGAAAGATTGGTTTATGCTGTACATGCCATGAACCATTTTCTAAAACCCAGTCCCTAGCAATTGAATTAGCAAATGAAAAAACGTATAGATTTTGCCCAGCAAGACTCACCTTAATCGAAGAAGCCTTTCCCTATAACAGCGTAACAACTTTCTGAATGGAGCCAAAAGCTGGAGCCGAACCTATAAATTGTCCAACTAGAGAGAATTTCCAATCCGAAATCCCCTCCTTAAATACTTCTTTCGGCGGATTAACTACACAGGAGCCCTCTATCACCGCTGGTGGAAAAAACTCCAATTCCTAGTCAATCCCCATCGCAAAAAGCTTACGCCAGTCAGTAAGAGTTTCGCCATACATAGCTCAACAAAACCCCTAAAAAAACTTCATAGAATAAGAAGAGAAAATCACTCGAGCAGAAAAGTTTAGCTTCGTCTTCACTCGCTGTTAGACCAGCTAACATGCACCAAGATAAAAGATCGATTTTATTAGATTATATAAAATTAATTTAAATATTTATAAGTTGAATTTATTTATATTATTAATTAATTAATAATTTAAATATAATTTAGCTAAAATTTAATCATCAATTTCAAATAAACAATAAACTTATATATATCCACATAAGTTGTGGGAGAACTTTTTCAAATAAAGATTGTTTTTAGGGAAAAATTAATTGTTTAGAAATTTAGAAGAGAAAATTGCCAAATTTTGAAAAATTGGATTTTTTTACCAAAATTTAGAAGAGAGAAAATTTGATTTTGTTTTTAAAATTTAGAAGAGGGAAGAGGAAAAAATGATTTTTTCCCCCAGAATTTAAAAAAAGGGAAGATGTTTTTGACATATGTTGGTGCCTTTTTTTTAATTCCCAATAGATTTTTTAGGTTAATTAGAAATGTTACCCTCTAATAATATGTGGTTTCTATTTTGTAATTTGGTTTTTAATTTCTTTCATTTTAGTCATAGTCTAATTATAAATCTTTTCTTGAATTTTTCAATTCAATGCAATTTAGTACTACATACATTCTAATTACTTTTAATTTTTCCTTCTTTTTTTAATGTGCTTAATTATTAAATGTGAATAGTAATTTTAGAATCTTTTATTTTAGTCACTTATATTTAATGATATATATATATATATATATATACACCACACACTTGTATATATTATACTATACACTTATATATATTTATATATATACCTATATATATATATATATATATATATATATATATATGTATGTATGTGTGTGTGTGTGTGATATTATATATATATAGGTATAAGTATACATATGTATAAGTATATATATACTTATAAGTATAGTGCATAGTTATATATATTATATATTTATATAAGTATATACTTATAATGTATGCATAACATTATATATAAAAATATATACATACTTATAATATAAGTATAGTGTACATTATATATACATGCATTATCATATTATCATAACATTCATCATACGTATTATATATATTAAAATTGATTTAATTTTTTCTCAACTTTTAAAATAAATGCAATTCAGTCCATTTTTATATTAATTTCAATTTCATATTTTACAATTATTTTGGATTTGGTCTATACATGTTGTGTAATTTATTTAAATTTATAATTTTATATTTGTTCAATTTAATCCTTAAAATTATATTTGTATATGAAATAGACCCATACTTATTTATATTTTTATAATTTTCTTCAATCTAGTCACTAACATTATATTTGTATATGAAATTGGTCCATATTTATATTTCGATTTGATGCCTCATACATTCATGTTGTTCAATTTATTTAAATTTTTATATGTAATTTCTTGTTTCTTCAATTTAGTCCTTAAAAATTATATTTTATTAAAATTGACACAATTATTTATATATTTTGTAATTTACTCCAAATCATATACAATTAAAAATTACAATTCGTCGTTCATGAAAGACAAAAAATAATTAACCCGAAAATGACTTGACCTGAAGTAAATTCGTACCCGGTAAGATCCGACTTGAATTTTGTTTGTCAATGATGTGACTCGATCTTAACGAGATCCGACCTGAATTCCATCGGAACTTGAATTAACCTGGAATTTAACTAATTT